AGAGAGAGTGAGAGAGAGAGAGAGTGACTGAGTGCGTGTGTGCGTGCGTATGTGTGCGTGTGAATGAGTGAGAGAGAAATAGAAAGACTGTGTGTGCGTGTTATTGAGAGAGTATGCTGTGTGTGTATGAGTGAGAGAGTGAGTGAGTGAGTGAGTGAGTGAGTGAGTGAGTGAGTGAGTGAATGAGTGAGTTTAAAGTGAGTTCGTGAGTGAGTCTGTGTGTGAGTGTGTGTGCGTCTATGTCTCTGCGCGTGCGTGTGCGTGTTTGCGTGAGTGAATACACGTGTGTGAAGGTGTCGAAAGAAAGGAAAAATTCCGGAAGATCTGAAGAGCGAGTTAAGACGGAGATAGTGAAGTAACTTGCTACCGGATGGGAGAGTGAAGTTAAGACTGGATCAGTGCGGTGACGCCACCGGGTGAGTGAGTGATTAATGGAACCAAAAGGTGTAGATCTACTCAATAAAGGTAGTGAATGAGTGAACTAGCAGTAGGCATCAGCATCGGAGTAAGAATTGCACCGAAAAGAAAATGTTCCAAATAATATTTTCATTCTCACTTTCACGCTTTACTCAGGTTTGATAAATTTGTACAATTGCTGGTCAAAAATTAAAGCGGGAAATCTTGTAAAAATCTGATGATGTCAATGAAGTGTGCGCCGGTGTAAACTACTTCTGTAAACCACCTGGGTTTCGGGCTGTACGTTCTTACTCTGAGCGTCTAGGTTTCGGGGTATTTCCACTGGTCTAAATGAGCAACGGTGGTGGTTGGCAGGTGTTCTGGTGTGGTCTGTTCCCTCTTTTCTCTCCTATTTTTCTTTGTATTTTACTTTCTATTTCGTAACACCTCTATTCTTCGGCACGTATATGAAATTACTGTGTTGCAAGTGCGTAAACTCTACGAAAATTAAACTGACCTTATTGTGTTGCAAGCGCAGTAAAACTCTTACTGAAACGAAACTAACTTAGCTACACCCAACAACATGACAGCCTATCCCAATACACCACAGACACGGGTGGTCTAAGACTAAGAGCGTGTAACTGGAAGACTAGGTGCAGGTGGCGAAAGACGGAGGAAAGGGGGGG